ATAAGCTATCTGAAGAATATATAGAAGTGGCATGCGTGCTGCCTCTGGAAAGATTCATTTTTATTTGTCTATCTATGGATAAAGGAGGAAGATAGATAAATTGAAAGGGAAGTGCCATTTCTGAAATGTTCACCTTGGCAAAGGGTTTGAAACAATATAAAAAACAGCGGCTCTTCCAAAACGACGGCTTCCTTGAAGTTCGTCCACTTCTCTTCCCCTTCTTCGCCACCCCCTGCGCCCCCAACCACAAAAAAAAAAAAAAAAATATTCAAAGCTAGCCTAGTCACTGTGGGGAAAAAGACAGCGATCTTTTGTACGTTGTTATAATTAGCTAGGCCCATTTCATCATCAGATTATAGAATGGGATGCAGTGTTAAAAAAAGAACTAAAGGAAGAAACCAGGAGGAATGACCATTTTAATTGCATGTTTATTCTGTCTTCGCTTTCCCAAATTGGTTTCGTTTCCTCTGAGTGGGGTAAGTGCCAGGGTATTCATAGGAGCAGGGGGCCAGGGTGGATTCCACCATTTACCAGCATTTGAATTACCTCCGGACGGTTTGGCGGCCTCTAAATTTATACCCTTGAAGGCACAGCAACGAGCCTTCATCTCCTATGGAAGAGACTTGAAAGCATGCCAGAACAGGACCTCCGTCCTGCCTTCTTAGAGTCCTGGCACGTAGAATCACACAAGAAAACAAAAGGCATTTGTGAGGAGCCGTCCAGGAAGAAAGATTAACAATATAAACCGAGGGGGGGAAAGAGAAAGAAAAGAAAAAGCCCTTTAAGATGGTTTTGTGCTTATTTTAATAGAACTTGCACAGTCTCTGAATATGCTCTAATCAAAACCAAATGCTTGTTGCCGTACAACGCTCTTTCTTTGTTCGCTGGTAATGCCCACTCTGCTCCGATGGGGCTGGGGCTGGGGCTGCTGGCTTATCTCTCCCCCAGGAATAAACAGCATCCTCAAGGTTAGGGCACGCGGCTGACTTGCAAAACCCCAGGAAAAACACCCATTGGCAGCTGGACCTTGTGGTCCATTACCCCCAGGGCCTGATGAAAAACTAGAAGATTTTTTTTCTTTTCCTGTGCCTTTTGATCCTGAAATATGTAAGGAACAGGATAAGGAGCTCCTTTTCCCCCCGTCCATCTCCATCTCTCATACACTCTGTCAGTCCATCTGTTCATCTCAATGGGGGGCTTTTCTCCTTCCTTCTTCCTTCTTCCCCCTCATCCTTCCTCCATCCACCTCTGTCCCTCTGTCAGTCTCTGACTCACTTCCGAAAAAAAAAAAAATCGGCCAGCTTTCAACTTGATTGGTTCATGTTGTCTGACCTTGACTTTCTGTGGGCTGGAAGGATTTCAGTCTTGGTTTTATCAGAATTAGCTTTTATCTGCACAGAAGTACCCGAGGAAGTCACTCATCTCCTCGTCTTTCACCTTAGGCTGGCTGCCTTCTCCTCTAATTTCTGTAACAACATGAAGAAAAGAAACAGGATGATTGTGATGGTTATGGAGATATGACTTTTCCTACAGGGCAGAGGGGATGAAGCCGTAATCGAGTCCTGGGCTCGGGATCAATGTCTTTGGGTGACGCTGGGTGAGGTTATTAAGGGAGTCAGGCAGCCTGTTTTGTTTCACTGCCAGACAGTTCTTTTCAAATGCTTATGGGGTGTCCTGCAGGAGGGGACTGGGAGGGAAGAAGAGGACCCCAGAAACCCAGAGACACAGCATCTGCACCTTTTCATGTCGCCCCAGCACCATGCAGCACAAATTGACTTTGTAAGATTGGCTCAGAAAATGAATACCCAGGACATCACTCTGTGTTACTTTCCTGTGAAATTACTTTTCTGAATGAAAATATTGAATTCCTTTGAAAGCAAGTAGTATAATATCTCTGGAAATGAAAATCCTGTGGAAATCACAAAGGAAAGAAGACTGAAGGATATGAAAGCTTTATATCTCTAAATGTTAGTCAGGCCCTGGATTTTATTTTATTTTTTTTTCCTTGACAACAATCATAACTGCTCTTTCTGATGTTGATACACTGGGTGCTGGAAATCTCCTAGATAGATGCTTCTATTACAGATTTAGGTTTTATCTGCAATAAACAGCCAATATCATTATCTTAATTTACTACAGCATTTGTATGCACTCGGCACTTTTTGTAGTCTACTTGCCTTGCAAGTCTGACCTGCGGAATTTTCCTTGTCTCAAGGGGAACATATTGACTTACCGCCAGGCTTCTGGTCGTCACAGACAGAGCTTCTGCTGAACTGACAGATGAACAGGGCAGATCCCTCAGAGGAGGCAGAGGCGTGGACGACAGGCCTTCTCAGGCTGCATCAGCTACCTGGTTGCTCACCATTATTCCTCAAATCATCTTGAGAGAGACGGCCTCCACCCTTCTTGTTATATTGACAGGCTCACCAGCTGTAGAGGGAATTTCTTGCAAATAAAAGTAGTCTCTCTAGAAACATGTTCACCCTTTCCATCTTCTTACTCATATCAGCCTTTTAGGCTCGGTGAGTTGAAGCAGCTTTGTTTTTTAGGTACATTATATTTGGTGTCATGTATTTTTTTTTTTAAGCAAGGTGTCAGTTGTCAACTGAATAAATTATAAAATGCCTCTCTTAACTTCTCCTCAGATCAGTACTCAAAAAAGGCAGGAAAGAGAACAAACATTAAGGGAAGGATCTGGAAGCCCAATCAAGATAAAGTGATTCCCAAGGAGTATTACCTTTCGGTAAAGGAAAGGGAGCCCTCTGCCCAGGTGAAATTGCCGGCCTGCCTGATGCTGAGCTGGGCAGAGCCACAGAGGAGATGGTTGAGATGCTTTTGGCCATGTTTGTAGTGTGCAGGGACCTGGGAGGTACTGGGTGGCCAAGCCAGTATCGATTTCCAGAAGCTTTAGAAAACTTGGCAATGGTTCTGATTTTTAAATAGATTAAGTGAAAAAAAAAAAATTGAGCAATTATAAAAGTTTCAGCAATCCCTGGGAATTAGCCATAATCCCTAAGAACAGATTATGCCCTCACATCTTCATTTCATTTTGTGGATCAAATTTTAGCCATTTATAAAATCCTGTAGTCTCCAGTAGGATATTCGAGCTGGGTGCTTTGTAAAACCTTAAAGTGAAGATGAAAACTGCTTGATGGCTTTCAATTTGATGGCTGTGTAATTGGCAGAATGCTGCAGTGGCTGTCAGAAGGGAGATCCCTGGAGAAACAGTGAACCTGCAGGTCCTTGATCTGGCCCAGGGCCAACATCTTTTTATTGAGATAGGTGAAGACTTATTTGTTAAAGTGGCAGGTGATATGGAGCTGGAAGGAATCATAAAGAACTTGTCTTATATCAAAAATTAGGCATTAAAACACTCAGAGTCGAAGGATGACATTTAACATAAGTATGGATAATTCCATACTTCAGTATAATCAGTATGGCTTCATGTGAAAGTTAAAACTTTGCAAAAAAGACAAATGATCCTGGTAAACAAAATCAATGTGAAAGGTTCCTGATTCTTCTGGCCCCACCCAAAAGTTTTCTGCAAGATGTGGCTCAGCCCCAGTCAATCTCTTCACAGAGGTGCTCAAGCATCCCTTTGAATCTCCCAAAGGAAAGATTGGGAAAGATTGAAGGCAGAAAGAGAAGAGGTTGTCAGAGAATGAAATGGCTGGATGGCATCATCAGTGCCATGGATATGAAGTTGAGCAGACTCCAGGAGATGGTGAGGGACAGGGAGGCCTGGCATGCTGCAGTCCATGGGGTCAATGAAGAGTCAGACACAGCTGGGTGACTGAACAACAACAACAAAAAAGAACTCATAATTATACCCTACATTTATATATATTACTATGACTTTATATATGCACAAGTTCCAGCATATAATGGGTGCTAAAATAATACTCATGGCTTGAGATTCTGAATCACTTCTGTTGTTCCCTTGAGTAGTCCATGCTGCCGTCATTATGTGTACTTCTACCCTGGGACATTCCTTGTTTATATCTCCTTTTGCAGAAATCTTTCAATGTCTTAATAAAATACTAGTGAGAATTAATATCCTAATGCAAACATCTGATATTAATTTTTTCATACCAGTCTTCTTAAAGTCATTTGGCAAGGTGAGGCTCATCACTGATTAATGATCCTCAAACATACAAATCTAATTCCAGTGTCCTGTGTATTAGAGATCAAAAACACAGGTGTACAGACACCCCTGGACATGACCAGTTGCTGAATTCCTTACCAAGGATGCCAGCCAAAATCAACATGCCCAAAGCAGTTTTCCAGTAGAGTAATGGTGCAGAAGAGATTTAAGATATTTCAGCCACTCTAGGGGAATATCACTATCTCTATTTAATCTATGGTTACTTAAGCCAGACTCAGTAAGTATTTGGGGTGAGAGCTGGAGTGAAAAAGAGTTGAAAATGATAAATCAGCTTCGTTGTCCTACCACAGGGTTCATGGTGATGGGTCATATCCTATCTTAAATTTTTTTTCTAAAATAAAAACTGTTAATAGTGAAGCATGTGCCATGTTACTCTGTGTAGCTGTGGAATCACAAGCAGTTAATATGGGAAAGGAAACGGCAATGCAGAAAAACAGACAGCACAACATCTCACTTGACAAGCAATAGAGAAACGAAGGGGTTGGAGGATAGGTGCTAGAGTGTTGTCATTCACCAACAGTTAGAGCCTCAGGTACTGTGATACCCACCTACCACGGTTTTTGCCACACATTACATTGCATCATGTTTCATATCACTGTAAGGCCTATATAAAATTATCTATATATCAAGTACATAAATCACAAATGTATCTAGACCAAAATGGGCCTGTATAAGCTTTCATAAAAATAGCCACAGATCCGTGAAATGTTGATTTTCAGCTGTCCAGGTTTGAGATTGTAATGTGTGCAGAGTAAATGAGCATCATAGATTTTTCAGTGTCAAATTAGAACATTCTTTTCTGGTGTCATCACAAACCAGCAGTGTGCATGGAATCCTAGAATTAACACCCAAGCTATTTCTCTTCAAATTACTCTTAGCCAATTAGCAGCCAAGACTTTCTTTGCCAGATCATGTGTCTTGAGTCAGTTTGGAAAACATGTGCATCAAACATTTCCTTCCTTCCTCCCATCTTTGATACCTTCCTTCCTTCTTCTCCACCGTGATAGGTGCTGTGAATCTGGTGGAAAAGAAGAGACATGGAGAGCAACTGTCACAGCGCCGTGCGTTCTATGCCATCATCTTAAAGGTATGTGTGGCATTTCACGGGCACACAGATTTGGGGAATGGGTTTGTTCACAGAAGGTTTCCTGAAATAGGAGTTAGGTTGACTCTTGAAGCTAGTTTGTTATTTTCAGGATTCAGATGAAACATCAAGCTTTAGAAGGCCTTGTCCCAAATTTTCTAGTCCTTCTTTAAGGCAGGGGTCCCAAACCTTCAGAATCTAATGCCTGATAATCCGAGGTGAAGCTGATGTAAGAGTAATAGAAATAAAGTGCACAATAAATGTAAAGTAATTGAATTATCCTGAATCCACTCTCTCCCTGACCCCACCCCCACCCCAGTCTGTGGAAAAATTGTCTTCCATGGAACTGGTCCCTGGTGCCAAAGAGGTTGGGCACCGCTGCTTTAAGGTACAGGTGAAGAGCTAAAATTCACTTTTGTGACTAAGTTGGCTCATTCTCTCTTGCTCTCTGTCAACTCTGCTTTTCAGTAGAAATAAATGTGAAAAATCCCAAAGCATGTTAATTTGGTTGCTAAGCTCAATTATTGAAAAAGAACAAGTCAAGATCTTCTCTTAAGGAATATTGAGCAAATAAGTGGAAGCAAAACTTCTTAATGGCTTGGTGGTGGAAATTGTCTCTTGGCAAAGGGGATTCCATTTTTTTCTGTTCTCGGAGAAGTTAGCAGGGGTGGAAGATGCCACAGTGGAGTATTTGGAAGGCCTTGCCTACAGATGTACAGCTCAGTCACCACTGACAGTGTGAAGGGGTTTTGAGGAGGTAGATTGCATGCAGATGGGGAAGGAAATAGCAGATGAGTCATTAATATCATATGTGTGTTACAATAAGACAGCTCGGGATCTGGATTTGAAGCACTAAATATGTGTCACCCACACCTTGCTTTGTACAGTAATGGAAAGACCTGGTAGAGCTGAGTAGAGAAAATGTAGCAGGAAAATAACAGGACATTAGTCTGATTCCTGATTCATCAGTTATTAACAGTGTGACCTTTCATTGCTTATTAAACCTTTAGGACTCACACTCCGCATCAGTGCAGTGCTGGGGGGTAAGGGACTGGCTTATAATAAATTGTCTCTAACACAGAATATAACTTAAAATTTTTCACCAAATTGCAAAAGGAGAGTTCATTTTAATTCCTATATGTTCATTGCATGTACTTTTCTCCTATGAAATCTTTCCTATAGAAACGTAAGCAAGCATATCTGGAAAGGATGTAGAAGGCATATTATACCCAGAGCTAATAAAAGTTCACTAATTCTCTGTCTTGCATCTATGTACTTCAAACATCTAATTTCAAACTTTTTGTCCAAACCCATTTCCAATTACTCACCTTCAAGCATTTCCTATCTTAGTCAATTCTCATAGTTGTCTGAAAATATCAGGCATATTTTCACCTCCATCCCTTGACTTGTTTTCTTAGAAAGTTTTGTACGTGATCCCTGTATTCAAATTCAATCCATCCTTCATGACCCATCGTATGGGAATGTATGGGAACTATCTCTGTGAAACAAACCTCAGTGCCTCCTCCCTGAAGTTGAGAGGGGTCTAAGCTCTCCTGCAGGCCAGTCATCTCTCTTAACAACACTTAACTTGCTTTCTACCTTGTATTAGATTCATTTGTCTAAATATCTGTTTCCTTATTATAGAGGGACTGGATCTTATTAATGTGTATGTTCCCAGAGCTTATCAGAATGCTTGGAACATGGTGAACAATAAATTTATTCTGGTGGAATGCGATCAGGGAGAGATTGTATTTTTTTTTTTTTTTTTTGGGACAGGAAAGTAGGATCTACTGGTGGGCATGAGTAAGGTGGGGACAGCACCAAGGCGCTCATGAGTGCAGGGCCCAGCATTTGTCCAGAGGGCCACGATTAGGGATGCATTTGATATCACAGCCATCTAAGATGAGCTGCTTTTTGCTGTCATATTTTCAAATTCCTCCACTTTAAACTTAATGGATCCCCACTTCTTGGAGATGTGGCTCTTCTAGTAGCCAGGGAACTTGACCTTGGCCCTGTGGAGGACCTCACTCATGTGCTCCTTGTTCTCCAGCTTGGTGTGGATGGGCCTAAGGACTTGTCCAATGTGAACCCTGGCCACTGTGGCCTGGGGCTTTCCAAAATTGCCGCACATACCTGTCTGGAGCCTGGATTGGAGCCAGCATGCCTGTCATGAATGTCCACTGGACATCACCTATCCATCTTCGAGGTCCCTTAGGGCAACCTGTATGGGCAGCAGGCTGTGAACACTACTGAGAAGGCTGCTGTTGGCAGCTCTTGCACTCTGGGCCCCCATGAGGGATGGTGTTTTTAGATGGACAGTCATTCAGAGTGAAAGCATGAGCCCTGTCACCAACATAAGGCTACACATGGTCTTTCCCACCTTCTGCTCCAGTCACACCGGTCCACTTGCTTTGTGCTGATGGAGCTGGTCCAAGTCTCTTCCTGCCCTAGGGCATTTGCTTCAGTTGCTTCCCCTGCCTCCAAGCTCTTCCCCAGATAACAGCAAATCCCTGCTCTCACTTCCATCTGATCTTTGCTCAGGGAGACCTTCTTTGGCCACCTTTTATAAAATAGCAATTCATAAAACTCTCCATTCTTTGTCTCTTTGCTTTGTCTCCATAGCATTCATGACTGCCTGACACAATATGTATTGATGTGTTTGGTAGCCGTTTGTTGGTCCTATCAGGGTGGAAGATCGGGAGGGCTTTCCCCACAGTGTCTACAACTGTGCCCGGTGCAGTCAACCCTTCATGTCTTACCTCCAGCATCTGCTTATTCTCATCAGCTTGTCTTAGATTTCTCTAGACTCAAACCATCATGAAATCAACGCTGCTTTCTTGCTTCTGAGCCCACACCTCTACTTCCACAGTCTCTCTTCTGCATCACAGACCTCAGTTTAAGAACCTCTGATCTAATGGAGCAGGAAAATATGAACTACAGAGGTAGTCATAGGATTCACGGTATACATTAAAAGAATGTCAAGGGATAAATAACTGAAGAAAAAAAAAAAGGAAAGGTATGTGGTTTATATAGAGAACCTCCTAATCAGAAACAGAGTTGAATGAAGCCTACTCGTTATCAATAATACATTTTACTTTAAAAGAGGGCTAATGGCTGGTATTCAGATTGGGCCCATAACTCGAGTGAGATTCAAGGATACACGGAAACTTTCATAAGTAGTTTCCATGTGCAAGGCACATTATGGACTTAAAGGTGCTTTATAGATTCCACTCTTTAGACTTTTATGTTAATGATATGGTGCATTCTTATTCTTCAGTAAGAAATCCTTGGAAATAATCCATTAAACTTTATCTTGATCTTGTAGAGTAATTTAATATGTACGATTAAAATTGTTCTTAGATTCGATGGCAATTATAACAGGTCTACTTCTTTTAGAGTGACCTTGATCTGCACGCAGAGCTGTAATTATTTGAAACCACTGGCCTTTTAGTTTCTATTTCTGACCAATTTTATGTGTTAGTTTTGGGGTGGGGGTTTCCATAAAAATCTTAAACAGGCTGCACCCTAGTCAAATAGGTCATGTTTGACCTATTTGGCTGTTAGATACTCATGTTGGAAAACACAAGTGTCAAGTCAAGGGCTTTGAAGAGATGAGATGCATGGGTGAAGTAGGGGAAAAGGAGAAGATGACTTTTAAATCTATTAAACGAGTATTCATTGAGCATCTTCTATGCACCAGCACTGCCTGAGTAACATACAAAGATAATTAAGGGGTGCTTCCTTTCCTTGAGGAAATCAATGTCTAGATTTTAAGTCTAGATGACGGGGGTTGTTGGCAGAAATGAAGAAGAAAGCAAGGGACACCAAGTGGATTAAAGATTAAAAGTTAAGACTTGAGCTTGTTGAATTTGAGATGAAAGCAATACAACCAAACGTTTGTTACCATGCTTTTGAAATGAGCCAGAAGTCTTGTGGGGGAAAATGCAGGGAATAAATGATAGACCAGCATGACATAGATGTAAAAAGTCTGTTTTCTATTGAGAAGTATACATTTGATACTTCATGGATGGGAGAAGGGTATTGGTTTGTTTTTTTTTTTTCTCCTTTTTCCCAATTTAAGTTAGGACTTCTTGCCAAGTTTCTGCTTAGGAATTCTGAACTGAACTTCAAATGTTTAGGGGCTTCTGTCTTAAACACATTTGGAGTTGTGGCTTCTTGTTCAAGGAAGAAAATCCCTTCAAGTACATCAAAGAGCTGTGAGAAAAAGATACAGTGTGTTGACAATTTGTGTAAGGGCATCAAAACCAGAAATATTTCTCTGCTGTACACACATATTTCAAAGTTAAGGGGGGAAGGTCTCTGGTGAGAGGCTTCTGTTGCTGTGTTAAACCCCCAATACTTGGGAAATAACACAGTCATTTTACCAAAAATAAGACTTGACTCACCTAGTAATTTCAAGTCAAGGTCTAGAGAATGTTTTCTCTGGTAGGTAACCTTTGAATAATTGTGAGGTGTCTCATTGCAGGGGCCAAGTAAGAAGAGTCAGGGAATAGAATCAGGGAGAGGAATGTTGCCTGAATATCAGAGGCCATTTGACCCAGGATTCAAGGAAACTCCTTACAAATTCAGTTTCAGGCATGCTGGCCAGGATCTTGTGAGGGGATGATGTCACAAGATTGCTTGTGCTGATTTAAGTCCCATTTCTCTCCTTCATCCTTTTGTTAAAGTGGGTACAGAATAAAACCCACACCTACAAGGGGTGAACCTACTATTAAATTCTTGATTAGAGGAACCTGGGCATCACATTCACACAGATGGGGTCTGGAGCCCCAGTTGCATCACATGCTTTCTAGATGAATTCAGGTAGCTTTCCCCATCCTCCTGAAGCTTCTGTTTTATTTGAAAAAGGGAAGCAACATTGCCAGCTTCACAAGGTTGTTGCTTGAATGAATGAATGTTGGATATAAAATGCCTAGGAGATGACTTGATGCTTAGAAAGAGCTCAGTAAATGCCACCCCACCCCCACCTCCCTTTGTTGTTT